AAAAGGAAATCAATTGGAACCAACAGGAAATCAAAAGGAATCAAAAGAAAATCGATAGGAATCCAAAGAAAATCAAAAGGCATCAAAAGAAATTCACAGGGTTTCAAAAGGAACAATTTTACCTACAGACTCAGGCGTTTATAATTATACATAGTTTATTGTTCGCATTCTAAGTGCTAAATTTCCCACTATGTGCATCGGTTTGTGGGCTTTTGCTGTGGGTTTGCCGTGGTGTTGAAAATCGCAGGGCAAGTCGGACTGAAACCATGAGATTGGAACATAGGTATATCAGTAGCATTCTAAGTGTTAAATTCCTCGCTATGTACAGGCGTTTTGGACTGGATTTGACATCCCAAAACACTTCCATAACGCATGCTATTTTTTCCTGCAGCCTGTGCATTCAACCTGCAATTGTTCCCGATTTTGCCGTGGGGTACCCACGATTTCTTGCCTCCGGCGTTTTTGGGGCGGGCATTCTAAGTTTCAGTCCGTAGGTATATATATATATAGACTGTTTTTTCTATACAACATTATAGAGGAATTCCTTAAACAACTAGAAAGATGCCAAACAACAAACCATCGCTACACTTTTGCAGGCAATTCTAAGTATCGTCCCTTAATAATACCCTCGTACCCACAGCAGGCATTCTATCTTTCAGTCCGGCGGTATACACAGTGTTTTGAAAGTGGGCCACGCAAAGTTTCATCAATCCAAGTGACATGTCATGTCTTCCAAGAACGTGCTAGAAACTTTCTCATGGAAACTGGGGAATCCGCTTGGACCCTACATATGGCTCATAATTTGCAAGTGAAATGGAGGGGCTTTGGTGCGATGTGTGATGCGTCCAGGTACCCCAAGTGTTGGGCCAAGCTGAGCTCCGAACACATTTCGCGCAGTGCCTTAGACGCAAATAGTATTTATCCGGTGCACCGTGTTTCGAAGCAAACCACAGAAGCGTCAGGCTTAGCCAGTTTTGGCTTTAGGAATCGAGGGGTTGGAACCTTCCAGTTACTAGCAGCGCGAAACAGTTTCATGTCCCTTTTCTGAGGTTTGGAGAGCTCACCGATGTCTACTTGCCATCCGCACCGGGTGGAGGTCGAAGGCTTATGGTCCAATCGATTCTTTGTGCCAGGTCGTGTGCCAAGGTGTGTTTGTGTCAGGTTTGTTTTCCTGCTTTGATGCCTACGTCGGCAGTTCACGATCGCTGAGGTGGGCACAAAGGCATTTGCTTTGTAAGCTTTGTCGGGGTCCAAGATGGAGACTCTCTTTCAAGGTAGGTGTGTGCCACATGACCCAGGCTGATGGAGCTAGCATCCAGAAAGCGATTGCATTCGGGGCGCATGAAGTGAAAGGCGAGAGAAACAAGAGTCTGAGAAACTGAAGATACGGAACTTTCTCCATGGGAACCTTTGTGGTCACCTTGTTGGGCCAGGCTGTGCTATTTCAGTTGACATTGCCGCTCCCCGCGCGATGGGAGCTTAACTGGCTTGTGGTTCGTGTTCGGTGTTTGAGGGATGAGTATAGTGCAGCCACTTGTGCGATGTTGATGACCACCGCCAATAGGTTAGTTATATAGTACATGACTACATAATGAGTGTAAGTTGACTTCGCTTGAGTTTGGGTGCATAGCAGATGAAAACTCGTGGGGTAAAGCGCTGTTCTCGAGGTTACAGTATCTCTCCACATGTCTAGCTACTAGTAGCAAGGTGCCTTACTAGTAGTAACAAGAAGCTACTAGTAAGGCTAGTAAGGCACCTTGTTACTAGTAGCTAGACATGCTACTAGTAGCGATGCCCTTGTTAGCCGTCAAGTTGCCCAGGCCACCGCCATCCACTGTGACGGCTTCGGTGCAGAGTGGATGCCGCGTCTTCCTCACAAAGGCGTGAGGTCTCATGGAAGCCGACACTCGTGTCAAGGATGCTATCTAGCGCCTTGCAGTAGCTCCAAGGTGGCAAAGGAGACGCTAAATCAGAGGGATCATGCGAGAAGCGTGCAAACATGTTTTTCACCCTATCTTTTGTTGAACGCAGTATTTAGTCAGTCCTGGGAGCAGCTAAAGTTATCCTACTTTTCCGTGAGCAGGGTCGATTCTTGCCCGTGACTGTGTTGGCTCAACCTTCAGAACGTTTGCCATGGCGGTGCCAGTGCTAGAAGCAGAGGTTGCAGTGCAGCTGGAAGCTGGCTTGGGGGAAGGATCGATCTGGGACAGTCGTTTCTTCGCTGCAAGCCACGTGGCTCTGGGTGAGGTCAAGTAGCTTCAGGTTCTTGGAGCATGGCGAAGAGGAAGCAGGAATGGAAGTGGGCAAACAGCAAGTGAAGCCATGTGAAGCCATGCAAATAGCTCGTTTGACGCGACGGCGTTTTCGACTGAGTCGACACTAAACATTCCGAAGCTGATATTGACGAGGGCAACAAGAACTCGACATGCTAGGGCATATTAAATCAGAGCCAAAGTAGTTGAAAAGGATCGAACATAGAAGTGAGCAAGACATTGTTCTGCTAGCTTCTCACTCATTCACTTATCATTGATTCATTCATTATCCCAAAGTGCTTCTTTGAAGACGTCAACATTTTCTGAAGTGCTTAGGCCAGTTGAAGAATTGCTCGCGGATTTTTCATGTTGCAGAAGAGATTTGGGCCTGCTTGTTGTGTTAAGCAAGATTCGCCGGTGTGAAGTTCAGAGCTTGCGTGTCTGTGGTCCGCGCGTGTCTGTGGTCGGCGTGTATTCATGATGGAGTTGACACACATACAGGACTGCAAGTTGGACTGAATCAAAGATCGATGAAGGACTGGCTTGAGTTGCCAGGGACCCTGGCTTTTGACCCAAAAGACAGGGCTGACCGCCCAAGGTTCCAAGAAGCTGATTTGGCTCGATATTTTGGGCCTCTCAGCTGCAATCGATCGTCAAAGTCTCATGAGTCCACGATTGGATGAAGTGCACATGAAGTGAGAACATGACACACAGATGATGCTCAGCAGGAGGCACCGGTGCCGAGAGCGGTTGGATATCTCTGATGTTTTTGAACTTTCTTCTCGTTGCTTTCAGGTGTGAAGCTCTTCCGTTTCGACCCCAGCAGCGGCCAGAACGAGGTCTTCGAGCTTTCCGGCTTCTCCACGTCAGTGAGCTCCGTGGTGCCGATCTCCAGCGAGGTGGACCCAGAGGGTGACACGGTCGGGGTGACCCTTCGTGAGGGCTTTGCCACTGAGATCGACGGATTTGGATGTTTTTTATTAAATGTGTATTTTCGTTTTCTATTTTTTCAAGAGATCCCAAGTACAGAACCCCCAATGGATCAACCCGCCCTTGGGTATACATTGCTGGTATTGCTTGTGTTTTTGAGTGGCGTCGACGGATCTTGTGGACAGCGGCCGCTGGCAACACACGCACACGATATCAACTCATTGCGTGTGGCCCTGGCAATGCGAACCAAAGCCAGTTTTCAGGAGACAGGGTGCTGTACGGAAGAGCTTTTCAGAAGCTGGTAGAACCTCCTTTTCTTTCTTTCCGAAACCACTTCTACTGCATCCAGCAAAGCCTCTTTTTTTGGGTTGTAGAAGGGTGTGGGAAAATTTGGACTGCACCTAGGACTCCTAGGACAGCTTTGGAAGACATGAGTCTCTGAATTGAACGAACTATACAATGAGAGGACATTTGCCGCAGTATGCTCCAGACACTGGAAGTATTGTTTTCTGAATTTCTATATAGCATTTTACATAATATTACATAATATAGACTCCCTTCTGCTCTACCCTTCGAGCTTTTCACGACGGCTCTCCATGTCATGCTCTTGAGCCTTGATAGTACTCTTGACTGTTTCCCGTACACACTGGACTTGAGGCCCTCTAAGGACACAGTAAGCTCAGCTAAGCATAATCCATCATTGCTTTATACTTCCAGCTCTTCGCTCAATACTCTGTAGGTCAGATTCGTCTACTTAAGAGTGCTGAGCACTCCTATATACATGGACTAGAAACCCTCCAATATCTCGTCTACTTTTCTCGGTCCTGCATTGCTCTGACTTTACTTCATCTTGCCCCGCACTTATTCATATTGTTCAACCTTGTGTGCCACAGGCTAGGCAGAAGGAAGTTCAAGCAGCTACATGGTTTTATTTAATTCTGTTTTTCCTTGCTGGTCCATTTCTCTAATCTTCTGTATAGGCAAGGTGGGAGTAAGGCTGCAGTTCACAGTCGGCCACGAGAGTCGGCCAGATGACTTGTCAAGCTTGATACTGTACTCAAGTGCTCTTAGAACTTGAGACTCTCTCATCGGAATACATGACTAGATGCCAGAGCGGAGGAAGTCTAAACAGGCTGGAGCTGTGAAACAAATCCTAGCATCACACTTTCTGACTAAACACATCTGCTGCAATCTCTTTCCTTTCGCTAGGTCTGAAGATTTTCCTCAGGTCCGCAAACCAAGCCAAAGGGTACATCATGCAAAGGTTGATGTGGGTGGAAGGTCAATACATATTGTATGTGCGCGCGTTCGTGCAAGGATTAGCAGCAACAACAACAAGATACAAACAACAACTGCAGTCCCTTCAATGCACATTTTCTTACTGTGTCTCTACAATGGGGTGAAAACAAGACTGGAGCAGCCTCGCCATTTTTTTAACACCCTTCCAAAACAACAAGCTAACAACTATCATCATTGTTGTTGTTTGTAGCAGTAGCAGCATCAGTAGGCTATTGCCTACGGGACCCCCTACCACATCCTAGAAACTAAGAGAGGAACCGTGTGGTTATTGACCACCCTCCCCAGAACAACGCCTCAACAGCACCAAAAATAGAAAAACTCAGGCCGAAGTGAAACAAGTCGAGCTACTTGGGGAAACCGTGGCCGTGCCCCCTGAAGTTCCAGATTTGCAACATGTGATAACTATGTCGGGCGGCTGCTTTAGCTTCTGCCAGAAACCAACAACAACTGCTCCAGTAGCCTGCAACTGGGAAGCTTCTCTTCCAGCACATCCTTTGCTAAGAGAAATTGTTTGCAGGAGGAATCAGGGTATCCGAGTACTTGCAGGGTGTGATGCCCGTGGTGCAGGATTTCATCCAAGCATGAAGACCGGTAAGGAAGATGGAGAGAGAGGAACAGATTCAATACAGATGTTTGAGCTGGGGATGGTTAGTCTGCTTGCCAATGGAACTTATATGTATTTTCGCCCCCGTAAATTAAGATGCACCTCATGAATGCATGTTCCGCAGTGATCGTGGTTCTGAGCTTGGCCCCGGTGCATGTCCTGCACTAGGTGTGGTTGCTTCCCACGGTCAGAGAACGCTCTTTGCTTGTGCTGCCGGACCATCGGCCGACTTCGGGAGTTGGTAGAGGCTCCGCTTCTTTGCAGGGACCAGGAGCAGGAGGCTCTTACTATACTGCGAGTAGCTGCAGGTGCCCTACTGGATTTGGCGGAGCTTGCAGCTCCGAGGTTGGCTGCTGAGCGTGCGGCGGCAAATCCGCCTGGATTCAACTCGGATCCCCTTTCTTCAAGGCCGCCGGTTGTTGCACCTCCCGTTGAGCCAATTGCACCAGAAGCGGGACGCCGGAGTGCTCCTGAGGTCGGCGCTGTCAAGCGTGAGGGTGACATTGAGGAGAGCAAAGAGCCGCTAGCCGAGGTTCACGAGACCATCCAAGACGACGCACCAGCCCCCGTCGAGGAGGACAAGAAGGCAGGCATTGAGGAGAAGACAGCTCCTAACCGTACTCCGGGAGCAGAAAAGAAGAAGAGGAAGAGGCACCGGTCTTCAAAGAAGGCAGGACAGGAGGAGAAGAAGCCTAAGCGAAAGAGGAAGACAAAGCGTGAGGAGTCAAAGGGTGTTGAGGAGCAGGAGTCCACTCAGAAGGAGGTTGCACAGGTCGAGAAGGAGCCCGATTGGTCGGGACTTGTTGAATCAGACCCAAGCTTCCTTGGACTTGCACCCATTCCCAAGGGAAGCGTCGCATCCCACTTCTCCCGGCTACCGCCACCTCCACCGGCACCAGTCCGATCAGGACCTGTGGAGCCCAGTTATCCTCCCCCACACCAGGCGAGTGCAGTCCGGCCGAGGAGCCCTTCGAGGAGCCCATCCTGGACACTCCAACGACGCCCTAGGGGCACCAAGGGAGTCAAGCACCGTGAGCGAGGGTACAATTGGAGACGGTACTAAACAGAATGCCGCCCAAAGCAAAACCAAAGCCGAAGGCCCGGGTGAAGGCCAAAGCAAAACCCAAGGCTGCAGGCAGACGAATCCCACGACGAGGTGTTCTACGACGACCAGCAGTTGTTCCTCCGGCGGGTGTGGCTCCTGGGGATCGGGAGGCCTGGTCGGATGGTGGACTTGCTTCATTGAGGGATGTTCCGCTCGAGCAGCTGGGCCGCGGTGTGAAGGTGGTAGTGGTAGAGGGATCCTACTTCACAGCACCTTGTCAAGCAGCGGGGGTTGTGGACAGGGTCGAGATCGATTCCGGTCAAGTTCACCTTCACGCCAACCTCTCGGGTACGAACAACGAGAACCTTCTCAAGTACGCCTCAGGGAAGCCCCGGGGGTTGGTCAGGATACATCGGTGCGATGCGCACTGTACAGGAGACCGAGTTGCCGAGGACTTGATCCATTGCGTGAAAGCCCGTCTGAGGAAGTCCGACGACTTGGAAGAGGGCTGGATCGACAATCTTGTCACAGTCGAGCCAGTCGACGACGATCTCAAGGACCTACGTGCCAGGGGAGAAGACCTACCAGCCGGCCGAGGAGCACCAGCAGTCGAGGCACGGGAGCGGGCCCGCTCCTTGGGAAAGAAGGACAAGAAGAAGAAGAAGGACAAGAAGAGTCGAAAGCGCAAGAAGGGCGACCTCAGCTCCGGGGACAAGAAGCCCAAGGAGAAGAAGGTTGTGAGAGCCAAGAAGGAGGACATTGCATCAGGGACTTCGTCTTCGGCTTCAAGCACGGTCGACCTGAGTGGGCGGAAGCCACGTTCGGCGTCCATCAAGCCTCTCAAGGCCCTCTATGCGGGGACAGGCCTCGACCCGAAGGAGAAAGTCCGAAAGAAGGTTGCAAAGAGAGCTCGGCGCAAGGGCCGCAAGGCCAAGGACACCAAGTCGGGGTCCTCAGAGGAGAACTCATCGAGCGCTTCAAGCAGTCACGATGGGGAAGCTCTGGATTCAACCCTCTTCGACCCGGACACCAGGCTACAGAAGATCGCCGAGTTCGCTCCGGGAGCTTTGGCTGCTCAAGCCTTACAGGCCATGAGATCACGGCTCCTCCAGTCGATTGGGTCGGTCGATCGCCCGGGAGCATTGGCTCCTGTTGGCTTGGCGTACTTCCGGCAGCAGCTCATTCGCCGGTCTACAGGTCCAGTACAACGGGAACTTGTGAACCTATGCACAGCGCTGGATTGGTTGATCAGGGGATCCCCTGTACGGGCCGCCGATGTGATCGCCCAGAGGATCAAGTCGATCGAGAGCAGCCTCAGCGGTTCTCACTGGTCAGTCTCCCAGAGGCTAGAGGTTTGTCCGCAGGACACTATGAGCCTTGCAGCAAAGGAGGAGCTTTCCTCAGCCCAGCGGGCTGCGGCCGACGAGGCAAAAGTGACTTATCTGGCAGGCCTGCCGGATGGCCGGCGCTCCAAGGGCAAGGGCAAGGAGAAAGACAAGGGGCAGCCAGTTCGCAAGGAGTTCGACAAGGGCAAGGGCCGCACCTCAGGGAAAGGAGACAGCAGGAAGCAGAAGGAAGAGCAGGCAGCGAAATAGCAGCCATCAATGCAGGCCCACTTCAGGGGCTTGGGACTATGAAGCCGGACCCGTCGGGACCTCGTGGCACTCTTGATGAAAGGCCGCTGATGGAGACGGGTGTGGCTAGCTTGGGAGTTTGTGACCCGCCTCGCCGTGATGGCAAGGTGGATGAGGCGGCTACGTCAGCCGTCGCCAGGAGCTATGATTTTCCGCCAGCTCCTCCGCCCTTTGATCTAGCGGGGGGAGCTCTTCAAGATTTGGACACTTGCCGACCGAGACTGAAAAATTCGTTTGAGCCTTTGGATCTTGATGGGACGCCGGTCGATCGAATCGGGGCAATCGTTCTTCAGAAACTCATGGAAGTTGCACCACTTCGCAGCAAGACCTTTGGTAGGGGAAAGGCCGCCTTCTTTCCTTTGCCTACTTCCATGGGGGTGTTGAAGAACTTGTGGCCTGACATTCATGAGTTGACGTTGAATTGGGTTGTTTGTGTTACGGTTGGTTTGAATTCGTTTTGGGGCGAACAGGTGCTTTCGGAGGAGGACGTTGCACCGGGACAGAGTGCGTGCTTGGACATGATTCGGCAAGAGGTTGAACGGTTCTGTCAACTTAAAGTTCAAACTGTGGGGGTTGACTGGCAGGCATTCTTCTCTATCAAGGGCATCGACTACAAGGGAGACGAGGTCAGAGTGGCTCGGTGGATTCGTTGGGAGAATGTGTCCCCCGCGTTGCCCAAAGAGATAGGTCGTGTCCCACTTCACGAAGTTTGCGCCCAGGGTTGCCGTGAGTATGTTCTGTCCTTTGACTCCTTTCTGAAGCCGCGTGAAAAGTGGGGAAGTACAAAGGGCCCTCGGGTGATGGTAGAGGACAGAGCTTGGGGTGAGCTCTGCACGGGGTTGGTGTCGGCTGGAGTGTGTTGTTTCCTCGAAGAGGATCAGGTGTTCAACACGGGGAGCGGACCGCTCCTAAACGGCCTGTTTGGAGTATCCAAGGAGGATTGGACTCCGGACGGGACAGAGATCTGTCGCCTGATTATGAATCTGGTGCCACTCAATAACATCTGTCAACCCCTTGGGGGAGACATCGACACTCTTCCTTCTTGGAGCATGATGTCACCCTTTTTCCTCCAGCCCAACGAGAACCTCCTGATCTCCTCTGAAGATGTGAAGTGTTTCTTTTATACGATGGCAGTACCTAGGTGCTGGGTCAAGTTCCTGGCATTCAACAAGCTTGTCCCTGATGACTGCCTTCCCGTGGACCTCAAGGGACGCAACATCTACTTGGCCTCACAGGTGTTGCCTATGGGCTTTCTGAACTCGGTGAGCCTTGCTCAAAACGTCCATCGGAACCTTGTCAAGTTGTCGTCCCAGGGTGCTCCTCACGTCAACACTCCGGAGTCAGAGCTGCGGAAGGATAGGCCCTTTACTGTGGCCAATCCCACGTGGCGGGTCTACCTCGACAACTACGACTTGCTGGAGAAGGTGCAGGCCACCGGCATGGTTGAGGTAGAGGGTTCGGTGCCGGCGGGAGTGCTGGCACTACGACATGAGTACGGGGTATGGCAGGTGCCTCGGAACGAGAAGAAGGCTGTTGAGCGCTCTGCGCATGCGGAACTGCAAGGTGCCACTGTGGATGGAGTGCGTGGGATTGCCTTCCCTAAGGAGTCAAAGCTCACTAAGTACCTCAGCCTCGCGCTGACTTTGTGTGGGCAGCAGATGGTGTCACAGCGTCAGGTCCAGGTGGTGTGTGGCGGCCTCGTCTATTTCTCGATGTTCAGGCGCCCTACGCTTGGCTCGCTCAATGCGGTTTGGAAGTTCATTGAATCCTTCAAGCCTGGTGGGGTCCAGTGGCGTCCACTGCCCGTTGATTGTCGCCTTGAGATCCTGCGGTTCATTAGTTTTCTGCCCTTGATCCGGATGGATTTCAGGTTGCAGATGCATCCCATGGTGACGTGCAGTGATGCGTCAACGACAGGAGGAGGAGTTTGCCGTTCTGAAGGACTCACACCGCTTGGGAGCCTAGCAGCACAGGGAGAGTTGCGGGGGCAGAAGCCATTGCCTCTGGTTGAGCACGGGGTACTCGTTATTGGGTGTTCGATGGCATTGGTGCCATTAGGGTCGCAATGGATCTACAGGACGTTGAGGTTTTAGGATACATCTCGGTTGAGAAGAACCCTCAGGCCAGGCGAGTGGTAGAGGCACACTATCCTGGGGTGGTGCATGTTGAGGACGTGACGCACATCTCCGAGGAATTGGTTCGAGAGTGGAGCCTGCGCTTCTCTCAGTGCAGTTTGGTGGTGCTGGGAGCTGGGCCCCCGTGTCAGGGAGTCTCAGGACTCAACTTTGATCGGAAGGGCGCACTCCGAGATGAAAGGTCCTCCCTGTTCACCCACGTCTCCAGGGTGCGTGAGCTCATCCGCAGGTACTTCCCTTGGGCGCAGGTTCATTGCCTGATGGAGTCAGTCAGCTCGATGGATGCTACCGACCGGCGGATTATGTCTCATGACTTTGGCTCTGACCCAGTTCACATCGACGCAGGGGAAATATCGTGGTGTCATCGACCTCGGTTGTACTGGACTACATGGGATTTGTGCAAGGGCATTGGGGCAACGTGTGACCTCTCTGGTGAGGTCACTGTCTGGCATCTCGTGGCAGAGCAGCCGGTTGAGGAAGTTTTGGAGCCAGGGTGGACTAAGGCGGTGCTCAGCAAACCTTTCCCCACCTTTACAACAGCAAGACCTTCAGTGCAGCCAGGACGGAAGCCCGCAGGGATCGCACATTGTTCCGAGGAGGAATTGAGTCGTTGGCGTTGTGATCTTCATCGCTTCCCGCCATACCAGTATCAGCAGGTCCACTCTGTTGTCAACAAGAAAGGCCACTTGCGAGTTCCTTCGGTAGCTGAGAGGGAGGTAATGTAGGGTTCCCCCTCCATTACACAGCCCCGTGTTGTGGCAAGTCCGAACGCAAGGGTGCTCATCACACTGATATTCGGCTCACTCTACTTGGGAATACTTGGAGCGTGCCTGTGGTGGCGTGGCTACTCAATCAGCTGCTCTCTAAGTTGGGCATCTCCCCAGAGTTGAGCCCCCAAGCCATTGTCTTGAAATGTCGTGCCGATGGCAGCACTGCGCTCCAGGGACGGCTGGTACGTATGCCGATTCGGAGCGTGCCTCCGACTTCCGGAAGTGAGGCGCAGCTTGCATTCAAGTTGGGCAACCTCATCAGCCTCAAGGGCGAGGACATCCTCATTTCGACTCCGAGTACGCAACTGGTCAAGTTCCATCGGTTGCGCGCGTCAGTACCTTCACGCTTGTGGCGTTGGCGCATTGTCTCAGGGTGGAGGTGGACGAGAGGCCGAGAGCACATCAACTCGCTGGAGCTCAGGGCGATTCTCAACGCGGTTCGCTGGAGGGTTGAGCGTCAGCAACGCCAAGGAGTGCGTATGCTGCATTTGACTGACTCACTGGTATGCCTACATGCCCTTACGCGTGGAAGGACCAGCTCTAAGAAGCTTCGGAGCTCAATGTCTCGGATCAACTCATTACTGCTTTGTTCTAACTCTCAGATCCTGTGGGGTTACGTGCACACAGATAGCAACCCTGCTGACAAGCCAAGTCGGTGGGGAACTCGCATCCGCGGTAAGCAGAAGCATGCCTAAGCGTGTGTTGGAGGGTGGAACTCAGCAGGATAGAGCAAAGACCCGTAGACAGTTAGGAACGCTTCGACAGTTGACAGTGCAACCGGCTACTCGTAAGCGCTATGACAAGGCAGTTGACCATTTTCTCGGCTTTTTGCGCAAGGAAGGCATCGCATTGCCCACCAACAAGATGAAGCTAGACCCCTTGGTATGTGACTACCTCGAACACCTCTGGGCCACAGGGCAGGGCCGAGGCCTTGCATGTGACACTTTGGCTGGATTACAGGACCTCCAACCTGGACTTCGTACCCACATGCCGGCAGCCTGGAGGCTCCTGAAGACGTGGCAGACAAATGAGATACCCAACCGCGCCCCGCCCTTGCCGGAGCATCTGGTCCACGCCATGGCGGGGTGGGCAATTTTTAACGGTTGGATCTCCTTTGCTGTCTCGTTACTTTTGGGGTTCTACACCATGTTGCGTACTGGTGAGATCTTGGGTGTTGTGTCAAGCCATGTGGAACTTGGGACAGGCACTGGACAAGCCCTCGTGAACTTGGGGTTTACTAAGGGTGGCAAACGCCACGGGGCTGCTGAAAGTGTAGTCCTAGGATATGAGCCCGTGGTGAAAGTTTTAAAGGCGTGGAAACAAGCCGGTTCCCCTAGTACTCGGCTTACGCCCTCCCCACCAAAGTGGCGAACCTTGTTCAATTCTTGCCTTGAAGGCCTCCAAATTCAGGACATGGGGTTCCGACCCTATTCCCTCCGGAGGGGAGGGGCAACGTTTTGGTTCCAAAAGCACCAAAACTTAGACCGCATACTAGTTCAAGGTAGGTGGCACACACAGAAAAGTGCCCGTATCTACCTCAACGAAGGATTGGCTGTCCTCAGTCAACTCAAACTTCCGACCTCTGATGCACGAATACGTCCCTTTTTGACTGTTTGTAGTAGTTTTTTCCGTCAGCCGCGAATCACGTCACTTGAGCCTCCTGCCAAAGGCGGAAGGGCAGGGGGGCTTGGAAGGCACCCAAAGAGATCCAGAAAAGGCAAGGGAAAAAGCGCTTTTCGTTTCGTC